AATACAACGTACGGTCATTATAGCTGAATTTGGACTGAAAGATCCACCAAATTCAGCTATAATGACCGTACGTTGTATTCGGGGGAAGACTGTAGCCGTTATTGGAACAATCAATGCTGATCAGGGTTCGTTTGGCCGTACGAACGGAAGGACGCCGACGAGTGGTGTGGATCAATCCTTGTACATTCTGGACTTCATATTTGGACTTGCCGGTGGATTGCAACCGGACTGACGGGCCCAAAAGGACCTGTTTATTATTATTTTTTTTTATGATCCTTTCGCAGGTTCACCTACGGAAACCTTGTTACGACTTCTCCTTCATAAGGTTCAATGAACCTCTCACAGCACCCCCAGCGGCAAACCGCCGAGATCACCACAATCCAGACACTCCACCTGACCATTCAATCGGAAGAAGCGACGGGCGGTGTGTACAAAGGGCAGGGACGTAATCAGCGCGAGCTGATGACTCGCGCTTACTAAAACAAAAGGACCTGTTTATAATACTTTTATATATTTAAAGTTCAAACCACTAGTACCTTTGCCGCGTGGGAAAATAGCGGGCCTCGGTTGGTCCTCTAATTTTTTCAGAGGCTGAAACGAAGTGACGACCGCCGATCAGATTTATCAATGGCAGTCGTCGTCGGGCCCAACCTCCGAACGTATTCAGCAGGAAGCCACCATGGGATTGAAAACAGGGAAAAAAAGAACAAAAAAAAAACAAGGACACCGCATGGCACCTGACTCGATACCGAAGCAAACCCCAAAGCCAAACCCAAAGCCAGGAAAACAAAAGAAGGAAACCTCATGGCACTCGACCCAAAACCGCATCAACAACAATACAAACGTGGTGGGAAAATGAGACACCGAACTGAAGCCAAACCGAAACCGGAGCAGTAATCGAACAACACAGTGGGAGATGAAAAACCGAACCGAAGACAAACAAAAACCGAACCACTAGCCATGCAAACACGTGCGGAAATTGAAACAGTTAAGGAACGCATTGGAAGGCAACAAACCGGTAAGTTACGCGTCAGAACCCATCGCCCCTCCTTCCGGTGATGCTCCAGAGGAATTCGCTGTCAAAAATTTGATGTCATTCACAAGGCAGGACGGGACATGGAGTTATATCCATCATTTTTTTTTTGCGTACAAGTTACAACACAATAGTATAGAAGACATACGCTGGAAAATCACTGCATCCAAAAAAGGAGCTTCACAGCAAGTTGAAAAAATAAAGGTCTTTTATCTCATCAGCTGCCGGTACCTCATGTGGCTCTGCATACCTGAATTGCACTGCAGAGGTGCTGGGTTCAAGACCCGCTATTACCACTCTCTAAGCCAGAACCATGTTGCTTGGAGTTGCTGGGGCGTGCCACGCCGTCAAACTTTAACCAAATTCCGGACTGTGGCCGTGAAGGG